TATAAATATAAACTTAAATATTTATAATTTTATTATTAATGTAATCATCAAATCCATTATTAATGTTGTCTTGGCAGCTAAAAGTAACTATTTTGTATTTGTTAATAAAAAGATCTCAAAAGTAAAGTGATATTGGAATTTATATTTGCTTGTTATTAATTGATTAATTTTGGATACAAAATTAGCTGTATTCTAATCAAAAGGTCAACAAAGAAAATGTTAAGAAATATGATTTTTTGGATTATAAAAATATAGAAATGTTTTAACCAAAAAAAAGATATTAGATTTAATATTATATGAATTAAATTCATAATTTTCTATAATAGGAATAAAATATTAAAATTGAACACCTTAATTATGCCTAGGCAGATAATTAAGAATGATTTTAGATACAATTAAATTATGATTTTCAATTATTAAATAGATCTCAAATAATAATAAATCTAGAGAAGATCGGAGAAATCAAAGATGACGATAATTTTTTTATTGAGAAGATTATTAGCTATAGAGGTGTTGTTCTTTATTCTTAAGCGACTTCAGATTTGAAGTTAACAGAAATCTCTTGATTATCATTATGCTTTTCTTTCTATCTTTTCATCTAATGTGAGTGGGAATCTGCCCCTTAAATACTAGTTTTAATGAGAGCTAGTACAACCAACCAATATTCTTTAAGAACTTTCATTAAAAATATTTATTTTTATTTCTCAACCAATCCTTAAAAATATGTTCAACTTAATCAACTATTGCTTATTCAATTCAACAATAATGTATAAACCAAATAAACTATAATTCAAAAGTTTAAATTAAGTTATTAGATAGACTAAGTTGATAGATGAATAGAATTATACAAATGAACAAGTAGGAAGGAAGTAAATAACAATATATATTTAGTCATAGGTATATATATAGTTAAAATAATTAATAATTATTATTATCACTAAATCAATTAAAACATTTTAACTACAACAGTCACTACTAAAATTACCAAATATCTTTGAATTATTTGGAAACAACATTGTTATTGTACTTAATTATTTATATCAAATTAAAGGTTTATATTTTTAAAACGTGATTCATGATACACTATTATAAACAGATATAATCCTTTTACTTATTTGATACAAGAATTTTAGAGCAATCTCTTGATTTCTATTTTTCAAAATTATTAAATTTATCTTTGTTATTTAAGTGGATTTCTTCTAACCAGAATTGTTAGAAATAACAGATTAAATTGATTTGCTTTAAACCTGATTATAATTGATCAATATTTCAGTTATTCTATCTATTTAATTTCTTCATTGGTGGTTTAAAATACATCAATTAGCTTAATATATTAGAGTTTGTTATCAGTTAATTTAACAAAATTTATGATAAGAATCCATAGGTATACTCAATATCATTCTATTCCAGTCAAAAATTTTTCTAAAAGATCTTATTATAAAAAACTAAATCATAGATTATTTCTAATAAATGAAATGATTTAATTTGTGGAATTTTTAAAACACTAAATAATTAACACTTAAAAATGCTGAAAATATCTATTAGGATTCTAATAGGATAATAAATAAATGAAAGAAATTGGTAATTGATTAGAACTAATTTTGCAAATCTAAAATAAGAGAAAATAATAAATAGAACAATAATAAAAATTTTGTAATTTCTAATAAATTTTTCCTAAATTAATATTGCTCAACACTTTCTAAATTGATTCATTTATTTTTTTTTCTAATGATCACACATACTTGGCTTGTATTCTTGCATAATTTAAGTAAAATATTAAAGTAATAGATTTGAATTTATCTACTGAATTTATTTTAATAAATAGTCTACTTATTTATTATCTGATTCCATCTTACAATAATTGTAAGAATAGTCTCTTTTTGAAACTTGATACTGATTGAGTATTTCAGTGTTTTTTTTCTAATGTATCTGAAGTTTAACCCAAGCAAGCATTCCTTTTGTAAATAAGATTGTGAAATATTTTTAATTCATTTTTATTTAAGAAAAATGTATCTTTAATTCTAAATTAGAATCCTCTAAAAAAACTAGTTGTATAATAAAGGAGTGTTGAATAGGTAAGAATGGAGAGAGGTATGTCCCAATAATTTCTGAATTATTTTCTAATTAATTGATATCATTCTAAGACCTAGAGGTTGATTTATTAATAAATAATATCATTTGATAGAATCTAGTAAACATAAAAAAGTGGACAAAATGTAAAGATGAAATTGGGTTAATTTCATACATTAAATACAAGCAACAGTAGTATCTTCTAATTTATGAAAAATGACTTCTATCCTTTCATAATATCAAATAGAATAATCTTAGGGAATATCAAAAACTGACGTTAAACTCATAGAAACTGAAATGAGTGGATTGGAAAAAGCACAAAAATTTAATAGCAAGCAGAACAAAAGGGAGAGAAGAGAAGAGAATATTTCATGAGCGAATCAAACAAACTATTTTAGGGACTTCCTATAACATGAAAAAATCTAAAAAATAAAACCAAGATTATGAGGAGACCCTTTTTTTTTTTATCTAATTATCACTATTGAATAGCGAAAAATAATATAGGCAAATTGTTGATTTTTTATCATTTCAATTAACATTTGTAAATTAAATTGTCTTAAAAAAGTTAAATTATTATAATAACTCTTCTGCTTAATTAAATTACAGAAGAAATTTACATCTGAAAGAATAGGATAATTAAATATTATTAAATATAAATAAATTATATTTATAAAAAAACTTAGTATTAATCGAAGTCTGATTCTTCTGATTGCTTTTGCATAATTAACAAGAATTTTATTTATAGATTCATTTATAAATAATTAAAACTCTAAAAAGCTAGATAATCTTTATTATGATAAATGAAATTTTCAAGTTTTTTTGTTTTTATTTACCAAGTATTATTTTTTTCGATACTCTTTCTAATTTATTAATAAATAAATAGAACAGTTTTTAACTATTTCCCTAAATTTCTAGTTTATAATATTAAAAGTTTTTTTATAAGGTTATTCTTTAAAAAAATTTCTCAAAAAGAATTAAAGGAACCAAATTTGTTTAAATTTAAAATTTACTCTTAATTTAGAATTCATCGTGAACTTATTAATAAATTTTATGGGTTTACTCAATTAATTGTTAAATTCCAAATAAAAATTTATAGAGTGAGTAATAAGATGAAATAAAAATGATACTCTAAGTCGATGATATTTATAATATTGAAAATTTTAATTAGAGGTTTGTGTGATAGATTGTTGAAAAATAGAGACATGGAGATCCAACATAGATAAAATAAATAATTTATAAATTTATTAACAAATAAAAAAATGAATAGAGTAAACTGACATAAAGGAGTGAATTTGCAAAAATAATTAATAAGAATTAATTAATTTTAAACACCCATCTTCATGCTATATATCTAATAGATTACCAGTAAAGTATCATAAAAATGAATTTTAGGTGGCTGCATATTCAGAAGTAATTTATGCTGCTCCAAAATAAAAATTATTGGTAAAATCTTCATGTATGTGTATGAAAAATTTCTTTATATTTTTAATTCATATATGGCAAATTATAGAAAAATTATAATTTTATAAAAGAAGGTAAAAATTGTTAAATT